CGCTTAATTTCCATTGGATTCGCTTATATAATTTTTGCACTTTCGACCAATTTGGCGCTAGTATCGATAAATTATGTGTAGAAAATTGCCACTTGGCGCTACCAGCACTTAGTGTCTAGTGTAAGTTGTGCAACGCCAGCGCCATCATGTTTGCAAAGAGAGTTTTTAAGGGGGGAAGTCGCCGTTAGTGGCGCTTATGTCGAATAGGAATCTTTACACAAGTTTTTACAGAAATTTAGCCGATTTTTTTTTTCGGTAAAAAATTACCGAACAAGGAAAACGTAGCTGAGTGTGCAGCTAACAAACACATATTTTGCAGAGATGTATATTGCGTAAAAAGCAGTATTAATGGAATTAATGCAATTACAGCCGTTGCCTGCGTTGGAGTTAAAGGTTATAGGCTCTTTTCATGCACCATCAATGTAGAGTGCGCTAGCCGATTTTGAAAGGAAATGTCATCAAATCCATTTGTTTACATCATAATAACGATTTTCAAAACTCAAAACAATGTACATTTTATTGTACAACTTGTAAATTTCCATCGGGAGTGGTCGTATTTTTCGATTATCTACAGATCTGAACTGATTTACAGCTGAAATAACCACACATTAAAAATCCGGAAGATCATAACCGCTGGGACAATTTAATAAATCTTAATTTTTCTTATCAAAAATATATGAAAGCACCAGCCGGATCACTGCAAACCCGATACAGAAAACAAAATATTCCACGATGATGATGATTTCAAGCACCTGCGGTGGATAAATTAATCAGGAAAGGTGAAAATATTGTCCTCCTCCTATGCTTCACGGTGAAAATTTCCACCGTCATCACTCTTTTGAGGGTTCCCCTATTAACCGCCAGAGGCTGAAACGATCACTTAGTTTCTTTTGGATTCGCCTATTCTTTTTTTTTAATATGACGCTATAAGTCTTTTTAAAAGAAATTAAACGATCGATTCAACCTCTGGTGGTGAATAGGAGAACTTCAAAAAGAGTGTTGTGAGCATAAATTTTTGCCTTGAGACATAGGAAGCACACTGTTTACTTTTGCTGATAAATTAATTCATCTGAGATGCTGCAAAACTTAATCTACAGTTGAAAAAATTAATTCTGTAACGTTTTTGAAAAGATCCTGCTGGTGTTCAGGAACATTTTTGTTGAGAAAAATGGAAAATTAGAAAAGTGCCTTAGTGGTTACGATCTTCCGGATTTCTTGTGTGTGAATAGTTAAGGTGCAAATCAGTTCAGATTTGTGGAAAATCTTACAATAAGACAATTACCGATGGAAATTGGCAAGATTTTGAATGAAAAATGCTGTTATTTGCGTTGGGGAAAATACTTGTTCTGATGTAAACAAACAGTTTGGTTGACGTTTCTTCTCGAACTCGCGTGGCACACTCTACGTTGGTGGTGCATTAAAAAGGCGTATTGTGCGCCGGCCTTAAGAGTCAACTGGAAATTTTTATATTTGAATACGCCTCACGAACCACAGACAAACAGACGTAACTCTTCATTGTGTATCTTCGTTCACGCATTTAACGGTTGATTTGAATATTATCAGTTCCGCGAACTACTCGCCGCAGCGCTGGCATCGGATCACTTTGACGTTTCTATACATTCTATAGAACTTTTATGCAATATTGTTTGCGAGTTAGTGAGCAAGCTTGTTTTCCGCGAGAAGCCTGAAAGATGTCGCTACTGAGGTCCTATGTTTTGAGATACTATGTTTTCAAGAAAAACTTTTTCAAAGAGTTACGTCTGTTTGTCTGTGCACGAACTGTAATCAATCAGTTTACGGGTTCGTTAAAATGGCTTGTTGGTTGATTTGACGAAAACAAATCGAATTAACCACCGTATATGTCACCATGTGACATGCTTATTTAAACAAAAATAAAGGGTAACTAATATCCTTCCCAACGAGAAATCAGAACATCTGATCATTACAAGTCCATTCAAAAGATTCCAATTCCATTTGACGATAATATAATATTATTTTATTTAGTTAAAAATATAATTTAGATTTGATACTCAAAAATTTAATTCAAGCTGATCAAAAATTCGGAATTAATAAATATAAAAAAATAATAATAATATTAAATCTAGGGTAGAGCGCTACTTCACTGATTTCACCGTGCATAAATCAATAATAGGTTTGATCCGAGGCGTTAGTTCATTAGCTACAATATGAATCCTATTAGAGCGCATTGGCAAATCAAAGTTGGCACTCGTGGAGAATAGAAGAACTATGAAAGTGATGATGGTTTCAAAATTTTACACGGGGAGGTATACGAGCGCAATCTTAAAATGCTTTTATTTTGCAAATAGAGCATTTTATTTAAATCTGCTTTCTGCTACAGTGGTAGAAAAGCTGAAATCTATGTCTACACATAAAAATCTGAAAAGAAATTATTTTTTCTATAGTATATGTCTTTTGAGTAGTCCTTTAGTTTTCTACTAACGTAACATTAACCAGATTTAAATAAAATGCTCAATTTGCAAAATAAAAGCATTTTAAGATTGCACTCGTATACCTCCCCGTGTAAAATTTTGAAACCATCATCACTTTCATAGTTCTTCTATTCTCCACGAGTACCAACTTTGATTTGCCAATCCGTAGGACGAAGAAAATCTAAAAAAAAACCTATTCCCCTTATTGGAAAAAGCTGGAAGCGCCGCTTGTGGCAAATAGGAGGAATAGAAAAATGATTATGGTTTCATAATTTAGCACGGCGAGGTATTGAAGAATAATTTTAAAATGCTTTTATTTTCCGACTAAAGTATATTTTTATAAATTTGATTATGAAAACGGGGTTAGAAATTTTTAGATTTATACGAAAATTAAGAAGAAATTTAAAATTATACATCCATCGGGTAGCTTCGAGCTTTCTTCCCCCTTAGCAGCAGTAAAACAATGAACATTGTTTTCCTCGTGTTTTTTTTCTCGGATAATCCGGGTAAGAGCGGCCTAGTGAACAGGTGGGGCATAATTAGCATCGCGCACTACAGTTCCAAACCTCTAATGGTTCGAAACAAATTAATTGACAGTACGTTCAATATCACCCCTGCAATGATTAATAACCAATTACTTTTTTTCGAACCATAAGAAATTCAAGACTAAAGCACATGAAGCTCAGTATTCCCCGCCTTCCCCTGAATGCTTTTAAGATGTCTTTCATATACCTCTCCATGCAACATTTTGAGATCGTAGACAATTGTCCATTGATAAAAATTGTATGGACCGTCGACCATTGTCAATCCCCTCAAAAACAGTCTACTTAGTTTATGAACAGCCCCTTAGAATCAATTTAAATAACTTTTTCAGGTACCTATGAGCCATCTTATGATTTTAAAGCGTTAAAATTTACAAAGTAATAGAGTCAAGGATTTTTTAAGGTCGCATATTAGACAAAGAGAAAGATTAAATCAAGAAATTGTTTAAGAAATCTTGAGCTTGATGCAAAGATCTCGGAGCAAGAAAATATTTTAAAGGCATCATGATTTGTACTAACAGAAACCGAAAAATAAAATAATAAAATTTCTAAGATTCTGAGGTTTTAACATTTGTTTAGTCTTAGAATACTTTATTTTTAAATTTTTTTGATTAAATTGGATTTTTTTTTCAATAATATGGGACTAAGAAAAAATCTCCTAGATCTAAAATTTTTGAAAAAATCCCAGATCCTAAATTTGAAAAAAAAACATATATAATAGTCCTTGTGAAATTGGAAAGATGTTCAGGGTTCTAATGTTTTGAATAATTTGTTTTAAAACTATTGAACATTCAAACAAATTTAATTTAATATCCACCAAATTCTGAGAAGAACTCGGAGAAAAATTCAACGACCTATGGCAAGAATTTCAAATTAATTCTGACTTTAAAGTACTGAGGAATTCTTGGTAGAATAACAAGGGCTCTGTGATGTATGTATTAAAAAAATAAGAATCAAATAGTTGCATGGGAAGAATGTTTCTAATGTCGGAATGAGTGTTCCTAATATTGGGCCCATACATAAATTTAAATGGAAAGCATTTAATAAAAATTAGCAATCAAATCTATCCATTTGTATTGGCCAGATGCAGATGTCGCATTGTTCTAAGAAATGAAAAACATGTGATTTTTATCGATGGGATCAATCGTTAGATCAATATGCCAACATTAACAAACTATACAAACGATTTTCAGGATGGAATCAAATTCCCAACAATTTTCCGTTTTTTCTCGGTTGTTCTCAATTCCCGCTTTTCACGATTTTCCCGGTTCAGTGGCCACCCTGCTTCGACTGAATATCCTATAAACAATTTTCATTACTCTAACAACTCATTTAAATTTTAAAATTATGATAGTTTGAAATCCTATTTAAATTCTGATACTTCTGTGACAAGTATTCACACTTTGAGATTGAATTTCTTCTATGGGATTCATGAGTTAAAAATGCTAATACAATTCCCACTTGCAGTGTCGTTACGATAGAGAATCTTCAAATCAATCATGCTAGACGTTCACATCCGCTGCTAGGCACTTGAATACTCAATCCTCGTCGAGATAAAACTCAAGATAAACGTGTCTCCATCATCATAAATCAAACCAAAAGTGATCGTACGCATGGCACACTAATCGCCGTCGATATTAATTCCCTGTACATATCTAGATGCGTTACCTTTCTCCATGGCAAACTAGATCGTTTCCTTATGCCCACCTAATCCATTTCGAGCATTTCATGCATAACATTAAACGCATTTCCGACATTTCCGAGTTTGATCGCTACGACGGCTACGATGCCAACCGGCTCTAAACAAATGGTCAACTATGAAGCACTTTTCTATTTATAAGCACCGCCTAAAAAAAAATGCCATACACGTGTACTTATTGCTGTGATGACAAAACACACAAGGTCGAGTCGAGTGGCAGTCTGCTGCTTTCGATACCACCTGCACAAGCCGACTTTGTTGTAATCTGAGTACCTATAGGGTATAACTATATACATGAACCACACTCACCTTCTCTAGCGTCCCTCTGTGGGTCGTATTACCCTGCCAGAAACGTCTCACGTATCCCCGGATGTAGCCAGTGATGCACTTTTCGTACTCGAATCCGGGATACCAGCAGAGGCTTCCGTAGCCGAAGATCCATACGGACACCTCCGCTTCGTGGCTTTCGTTCTGGACAGCTGCCATTGTTTCTTCTTCTTCTTTTCTGCCTAGCGTCTAGCGAGATATCACTTCAGGAAGATATTTATCCACTGCACAAGTGTTCCCTTGTCTCTCTGGCTTGGTACCAAGATTTTCAAATTATTTGCGAAAGTCACAGTCACTTGGTCGGAATTGGCATATATGTAGTAATGTGCCAAGAGTACCGTGCTCGGGTTCACCCGACGTAAATGTTTTTGTTTTGGTTGGAGCAGCTAAAAAAAAAACAATAACACCACAACACACTCTACACGGTGGATTTCGATCACAGTCACTCACTTTTAAATCCAACGCTCACGCGAATATGACGATCACTCGCGGCGATGATGCACTCACAAGAAAATAAGGTCCTTTGTCTGATGCTCCTCCGAGATGCGCAATCGAAGCTTGCATTTCCTAGTTAGGTTTTCCGCTTGAACAGGTTGCTTGCGATATCGGAATCGACAATCGGATCGAAGTCGGCGTTGTGGGGATCACGTTTTACTGCGCACTGTCGGTGCTCCTAAACGGAATGGAAAATGCCGCCACTGATGATCGAATCGGTGAGTTTTCTTGTAGGTGTCGATAATGTCGACGATCGATGGGGGTGCCTTCGGCGGAACCAGATTAACGAGGAATCTTTGCTCCGGAAGTGCCACTGCCTCTACTGCTGCCGATGTCGCTTGTGCGGTGATCTTTTGTACTGCTCGCTGTCGTCGTTCTCGTCGACTACTAGATGCTGCTGGCCTCATATTCTGCATGAGTGTGGAAAAACGGGGCGAGAAAGGATTGTAGATGGAAATTAATTTTACACATTCGTTTGCCATTATAGCTATATGTATTGACTGATAAAGGTGTATACACATGGGACGTTCTCGTACGGTGGTGTGCGTGAAATTGTGCCTGAGCGTTTGTTTGTGTGGAGTGGGACACGGGAAGTCACGCGGGCACAGCGTGTTCATCACGCGGTTGTGCGCGTTGGCGCGATTGTGTGAGTAGGCGGCGGACTTAGTTTAGCAGGCCACGTATGCGAAAAACTCTCAGCTGATATTTTTTTTTTGCGCATTAAATGTTGCTTTGAAACGTGCCCTCTAGTCGGCCGTGACTTAGTAAACAACCTTAAAATTGTAAATAAGCGAAAATATAGATATTCGGACCGGCTAGTTGGTCGCTTCGCTACACCGCCTCCCTGGTTCGTCGTCACCAGCAAAGCAACAGCGGAGCGCACTCGGGAAGCGAATGAATTTACTATTCAACAAAGCAAGCGCCTCTTTATCGGGAATGAATGAGACAAGTTAACCGCGTCTCCCGTGGGGCAATCAATTACCTAATATACGGACAGGGTTACCAGACGTTATCCAGTGCGAGTTTGCTAGAATTTAGTTGGCGGTCGTATTATAAGATTTAATCTAGAAAGAATCTGACATACAACGAAGAACGCTTTCTCTGAAAGTATCGTTCACATAGCCTATCTAATCAAAATAAATTGAAATAACCTTAACGACGCGATAAATAACTCCTGCTACTAGATTGACAAATATTGCTACGAAGGTGTATTAGATTAGATATTCCAACGGTCATCTAAAGTACTTTTGATAGTAAATTTTCACCAGAAAAAAAAAAGATAAATTTTGATACTTTGATATACTGCCGGTGGACGCATAATTGTCCCATGATCTATGGAGTTTCATATACAAATGGGACAATTATGCTTCCAGCGGCAGTATAGCGTTTACATTCTTTCTCCTAACAAAGTAAGGAAGCAGAATGTTTACACCTCACTTACTTAGCTTACAAAGCAAACAGTACACGGCCAATGAGAACGACTCAAATTTGATTTTTGTTTACTCATAAATCACATAAAGTGCAGGAACTTAGCGATGAGTAAATTCGCCGCATGTTTTTCCATGTTTGTCCAGGAAAAAAAAATCCCGAATATGAAAAAGTAGAGATTGGATTAACTCAGTCTATTGGTGCTACTTGTAGACTGAGTATTTTTTTTTAATTTTCCTCATTTTCCGGCAGGTCCTTTTGAGGTTTTCCACAGGAAAACATTAGGCAAATTTACTCATCGCTGATTTCCTGCACTATTGGCGATTACGAGTAAACTGAACTCAAATTTGGGTGGATCTCATTGACCGTGTAGAGTGTCTACTTTTTTGTCAAACAAATTTAACTCATCGCTGCGTTCCTGCACTTTTGGCGATAATGAGTGAACTAAACTCAAATTTGGGTCGTTCTCATTCGCCGTGTACTTTTTTGTCAAATAAAGTTCACTGAGTTTTCCAGGCGTTTCTACGACCAACACATAAAATTTGAGGTATGAAATCCAAGCCTTTTAATAACAGTACCGTAAACCAGGGGCAAATTGATCACTAATATTGATCAGCTAATGGTATAGAGATCCCCAAGCGCAATCTCACGAACATTAAAATCCAACATCCACATTTAAAAATGAAGGAGAAGAAGAACCAAAAAGGTATCGCGATATCACAAACGGTAGTGCGCGGTGTCACGCACACTTTTGTGCATCTGGAGAACTCTATTCAAACTAGTAACTAAGATGAGTCTATCATTCTACGCAATTACTGATGCTGGGTCATTGGACCGAATGGTCAATAGGCCAAATGGTCATTAGGGGTGAGGTATATACTATGTCACGCTCTAAGGGGGGAAGGGGGGTCTAAGATTTTGTGACAAGCAATGCATTAGGTATAGGAAAAACGTGACGATAGGGGATGGGGGGTACATTTTTCCTCGATTTAGCGTGACATAATTAATGCATGGGCCCTTAGGTAGAATCACCAATACGCCGATCTGGTTGATTAGAAAAAAAGTTTACAAACAACAAATAACTTAACTCAAAGCACCAATATAAAATCCAACTTATGATTGAAAACATATTAAACACAGTGCTTCATACAGGTAAATCTCTGAAGAACCGGTCATGTTTAAAAGAAAGAAAAATCCCTTAAAGTGTTACATTTTAATTTAACAAATTGCCAAACAAATTGAATCAGCAGAGAATATGAAATTTCTACAATAACGAATGAAAAATATCAGCCACATTTTTTGGCTGATTGGAATAGAACAAGCAGCTTTTAAAAGAAGAATACATTATATCATGGCATATTTTATGTGTGATACCGAAAATCTCGAAATCAATTAAACTTGAAACAACTTAGAAGGAAAAATACATAGAAAAATGTAATATCAATTTCTGATCAAACCGCTGAACAAATTTGAGAAGATAAATACAATTTCTTCAATACCGAAAAAAATCCTAGTCCCATACATTGGCGTAAGAAATGAATGAGCAACTTTTGAAAGAAGGGAAACGAATATGATGGCATATTTTATTCTTGATGTCTAAAATGCCAAAACCATTAAAACCCAAAAGAACTGCTTATGTTTGAAAGAAAGGAAAATTCTTTAAAACATTGCATTTTAGGTGCTTGCCAAACTTTTTTTTTAAATTCAGGGGACGTATAAATTTTCTTAAATTTAGGAAAAAAATAAAACCCATTCTGAAACCTCTAAACAAAAACTTCAAAGCAGAAACTATCTATACATCATGAATTATCGCTTATTTAATTCATTCCTAGCAGAGCATGGGGTTTCTTTTATTTCTGACGTAGACTACGTCTTACATGAAGGTACAGGGGGTAAATCGAAAATCTAAAATTGCGACCGTCACAAAAGGTGTTAGGTTTTGAACGCTTATGACTTTGTCATCTATTGATGAAATTGAAATCCAAATACACCAATCGATAGGAAATAGCTCTTAGAATATGCTAAAACATTTTTTTTTTCAAATTTCCATTAAAATCTTTTGAAAAATGTACAAGTAAAACGTGATAATTTTATCAGTGTATTCATGAAAAAAAACTTTTTTCCTAATCCAGCCATCATAATCGAGTACCACTTCTGCTTAACTTGTAAGTTTATAAGCACCGTGTAAAAAAATAAGATTCTGAAATCAGACTAGATTTTTTTGTTTCGAATGAATTTTGAGAAGATTGAAGATTTAAGAATGAATGTCGGGGATAACACCAAGGTAATTTACAGAAAACTAACGGGACTTTTAGAAAGAACGTTTTGAGAGTTTAGACTTTCACTGCAAGTCAGCATGCAGCATGAGTTCAGATTTAGAGTACAGTTTCTAAGTAGCTCTGTGGAAAATTCCAAGTCGATTGTGATTATCCCAGGATCCGTGAAAAATACCAAGGAAATCAAATGTTGAGGGTAAAATTCCACGGGAATTCTGCGAATAATTTTAAGAGAATTCCATGTACATCCCGAAACGAATTTCTATAGAATTTTAATAAAATTTCAAAGCAAAATTCAAGAAGATTTTAGAGCAGAACTCCAAGATAATTTGGGACACAATTTAAAAACAATTCTACAGAGATTTCAAGTGAATTTTAAATATAATTAAGGAAGAAAGCTTGGAGGAAACCTAAAGATGAATTTCATGCTTTTTTATTGATCTGCAGAGAATTTCTAGACTGTTATAAATACATTTTTAGGGACGCCCAGAGATAATCTCAAACTTATTTTTTTTATGATGGGAAATAATTCCAAAGGAAATGCTTGAAAGTTTTCTAACAAAATCGTTATGACAGATTATAGATTTCAGTACCAAGCACTGACATTATCAGACGGTACTTCTATTTATGCTTTTAGATAAGCATTGTAAGTCCATCCTACTTTGAGAATTATGTTATGGAACGGCTTGCTATGCCCCGCTTCGATTATAACTTCCCGAATTTTTTTTATGCTCGGGGGCGGGGCATAGCAAGCCATAGCAAGGTTACGAAGCATAATTGTCCATGTAGGAGGAATTACATATTATACGAACGCGCTGTAAAGTACAGAATGATGATGCATGATAGGGTTGACCTCCAAATTGGAGAACATGATCATTACACCCCTTCTTCCCCTACTTCGCTGACATATAACCCAACATTTTGTTCAATATTGAAAGTACCGTCTTCTGATAAGGAAAACACAACTGCCTGTTGCGTTATCATAAAACTGACGTCGCTAAGGCTGTCTTCATCGCCGATCTCCTGCG